CAGAACGACGATTATAATACCATTTACATTTACTATATTTGCTGTAACTATTGTATCGTTAGATTAACAAGAACACTAACCATTATTTCCAGTACTACGAGCGTGTCTCTGTGCGCGATATAGATTCAGAAATAAAAATGAAAAATAAAAGGGGCGGTCAACGTTGAGACGCAGAAGTTCCATCAATCTCTTCGGTTCTCGGATCTTTTGCATCCAGAACATGCACGATTTCGAGTCGAGCCGAACGAATTACTCGTGGAAAAACGATCGTTTTAATCGATTGGAACGAAACGAGAAAAAAAACAATATAGGTTCATCATTAATTTGTTTGCATTTCTTTGTTTTGTTTGAGATATCATAACTTAAACATTTATAACCATATTCTGTAACACAACTAACATTTAAACTATTTGCTTTATTTATAGTAGTAGTATTATTAAAGAAAACGAATTTTGTTTTTTTTTTTTATTAAATCCTTTTTTGCTTCATACATGTGGTTTTAAAGGAATTCCGAAAGAGATTTGCTTGAACAGAGTTTTACCTGAAACTTTATTATTTGTAAACTTTTTTCTTTATAATTTTTTGATAGATAAATTTGTTGATCGATGAGACGTATTTTGTGCGACCGAAAAGTTTGCCGAATGTTTATTTCTTTTTTATAATTTCCTTTAGATTTTTGAAATACTTTTTTCCCAAAAGTGACATATTAATATATATATTTATATTATTATTTTTATTATGGTATCCATTTTTTTTACACATTAATATATTTTCATGTGTGTGTAGTACGTGTGTCAATTGTGTCCGCGTGTTGAAAGTGTTAAAAGTGGAATTTTGGTAATCGCGTATTCCGAAAGTGGATTTTCTTCTCTTTTGCCTCGATCCGAAACAAAAGTAGTTTTTAATGAGATCGAGGCGAGTGTTCGAATTTGTTACTGGTGTGCGCTTAACTTTTTTTTATTTATTATTAATGAAATATTTTATTGTAAAAAACTGAAAATACGGACGGTCCTGTTCCGATCCTGGGACGCATCGGAATCTCATCCATTGCAGATTATGTGTGTTGTGTACATGGAAATGTATTTGAATGTGTCGTTTTGCGTGTGTGTATTGAGAGATTCTGCAGGATGAGAACTTTTGTGGCCTCGAGAATCGTCGCAGGCTGACGTCCGGAAAAACGCTTGAACTTAGGTGTGGTAAAATCGGAATTTTTTGTATAGCATAAGAGTTGCATCGTTATGCGTTTAGGCTATTGCATTTGAACTGAAATCGTAAAATTAACGCAAAAGTCCAGCGTTGCTCTCCCCGCGAAAAGAAAAGTCTTTTTGGGCTTTTTTTTTCAATTGGTTTTTTTCATCATTTTTTTTACTTGTTTAATTACGATTACATTGATATTGAGAAAGCACTACTGAAGCTATGTATGTGAGGTTCCGTTAATTACTTAATCATCTATTTGTGGGTGTGTTCCGTCCGAAAACAATCTAACACTTGGCATATTTCATTATTAGTTAACTGTCTACTGAAATTTGGTGTTTGCTGTGGATAGGGGTAGTTTGCTGATTATATAATTAATTATCGATATCACTGTATGGCCTACGCGAAGCTTACTATTGGTTATATGTGTTCATTTACTTTACTTTTTAATTTTTTTGGTTCCAACGGGAGAGCAAGGGTTTTTCGCTGGACTTTTCCTCTTGTTTCATTAACGAACTGAAGATTTTATCAACTGAAAGTTTGGTGAAAACGATTTTTTTTGTAACGTTTAGATTTTTTTCCATTACAACATTTTTTTTTTGAAAAAATTTCGCTCGGACGCGCGCTGGTGCACGCGCCCTCGCTGGTTTGGTGGGCTATTGCAAATAAATTTCGTTTCGCAATTTTACAATAAATATTTGTCCACTCGGGCATATAGACTTCATATTTATGTAAAATACATTATTTTTCTGTATTTTTTATTCTGGTTTTATTTCATTTTTATTTTCATTTCAGAGCTTGGGTGGCTCCTAGGGCATTGAAGATCTGTTCCGAAACAATTGAGTTGTGGGTGTCGGGGGGAACACCCCTGTATTCAGCGGGGGGAATCCCCGACCTGGGCTATTGCAGTTTGACTTTTTTATTTAGGCAGCGGCCTAAAAGCGGGCGCTGCATTATGTAATACGTGGCGGGCAAAAATTGTGTAGCACTTAGTGCAACCGGGCTATTGAGTTTGTATATTTGTTTGTTTATTTATGTGAATGTGTATTTTATTCAAAAAATAAGTCTAAGTCGGTGGGTTTTCGAACGTTTAGGGGATGATGAAATTGTTCAACCCTTTGCGTGGAAGGGGGGAGCGCAGCGCCCCCAACCTACGTTCGATGTGTGTATTTGTTTGTCAATCCAAGGTAAAAATTGCATACTTTCAACTTTTCTCAACCTCGGCGTCATCGGCGTCGTCACAGTTTTGGGAAATCGTTTACTATTGCATACATTATTATTTTTGTGTGTATTTATTTATCCATTTAAAATCCAATATTGTCTAATTATGAACTATTGTTATGTTATGGGAGAAAGAAACTAGATCGCGCGACCAATCACAACCTTCATCTTCAGGTTGATGCGATGAGTCGCGCGTTTGAGACTAAACTGTATTTTATGTACAAGAGCGGAAAAGGGGGCTTCTTCAAACCCCCTTTTATTTATCAAAAAATTTGAGATTTAATCGAAAACCACATTCGCAGAAAAAAAAGTAACATTGAACATTCTTGTCGTCGAACTTAAGTACTTAACTTAAATTATTGCAAGAGACAAAAGAAAACCGTTTATATTTGTTTGTTTCGTTTTGCTCTACAACTGTTAAAACAATAAAAACGAAATTACAAAAAAATACATTTATTACGTAAAGCGCTTTCCTCATTTGTACCTTTGGATGTAGAAACGTAAAAAAGAAAACAATAATAATAAAATAATCAAAAAGAAAATCCAAAGTCTTCTTTTTTTTAATCTTAATGTAGTCACTTAAAAAAAATATAATATAATTAATAATATATAATTAAACTGTATTTTGTACATTACAAACAACCACACTTATTTATGTATACTCTAATTTACAGAAAATTACTGTTTTGTTATATTATTAATTTTTTGTTTGTTTGTAAAAAATATAAATTCATAAACAAAAACGAAAGATAAAAATAAAAAGAACGAAAAGCATTGGAAGAAATAAAATGCTTCAGTAAATGCCTGCAGGACTACTGACTGACATCGATTAATTAAATTGCACGTTTCAAATTTTACTCACTCATTCATTCCTCAACCATTGTGGCGTCCACTTATACATTCTACTTTATATTTTTTTCTCTCTTAGTTTTGTCACCATCTTAAATTAAAAAAATAAATTTGGCGAGTCCTGCTCAAGGATCCAATCGCATCACAGTTTCAAACAATTGCAACTCATTTGGATTTCTCTTCACAACGAAAGATTTTTTTTTGTATTTTCTCCTCTTCTTTTTTTTCTCTCTTTCTTTCTTTTATTGCTAATTATTGTACCGGCCGCTAAACTTCTGGACGGGACGAGAGTCCGTCGCGACGAAAGCTTCTCGTGACTCTTCGGTTCATTAATAATGATGATCCGATGGAATTTTGAAAATTTTGCCAATATCGTACATTTTAAAACTTTATATTTTTTGACTAGAATTTTCGCAAATTTTTTAATCCTTCCTTTGACTAGATTTTGTTTAACTTAATTTGTATAGTTCATATTAAATTTTGAATCGTTTTAAACGATTTTGACTAGATTCCGAAAGATTTTGGAATATTTGGATCACCCGGAGAGCTTTAGACGCGGAACACGCGTACCGCCCGGACAGTCTTCTTCTTTAATATTTGATTTTTTCCTTTCTCTCTCTTTCTTTCTTAAATAGTTAAACTTTTTCTCTCGATGATTACAAAAGAAGAAATTAATAATATTATATAGTAAATTCGAAACCAATTGCTCCTCAAAAATTGAAACGAACAAAAAAATAAATCATTGAACACGAACAAGAAAGAAGGCTTTTCTTCAAGAAAATAAATGAAAAATAACAATTATCCTAAAACGTCATCTAAAAAAAGTCTTCCGGAGCAAAGAAGAACGATTCAACCGTCTTCTACGTCCGCAATCCAACATTCGCTCATCCAAATCCATTCACGCTTTGTAAATATATTTCATTATTTATATATTTATATGTACTAAAAACAATTCTAAAATTCAAATATATTATGTACACTTTTTAACCTACCGCTTAATTTAATTAATTAAATATTTATATATAACGCATATAGTTATATCTTATTTAGTGTTTACTTTATTAATATTTTTTTTAGTTTTACTTCTCCGTTTCCTCCACTGTCTCTCTCCGTATATCTTATATAACCGATAATTCTCGTTCGAATCATCCGTAATTATTTCTTTCTCTCCTTAATTAAACTCTCATCACCTATCTCTATAAATCTCCATATCCAGCGCAATTTCATTGCGACAAATTAATAAATCTATACATAGTTTACTTTTATAATTCCCATTCTCTTATTTATAAACACCTCTGCTTCATTACTTATTTACTCGTCTTCAGTTATACTTATATGTGTGTTTTTTTTAATGTTTAGTTATACCTGTTCAGTTTAACAGGAGTGCCGATTCACGGATACAAATTTGACGAAAACGAATTCAAAAGAAACGCGGTATCGTGAAAGGGCACACCTCATCAACGCATTGAACGCAATTTTTATATTTTTCTATAAAGGTATTAATTTTCTTTTTTCAACTTTCCTATAAAAATCGAATACAATTTTGGCACTGTCCAAAACGATAAATCAACCAAAGGAAATCATACTTTGTGTGTATATATATATATGATAGTATGGAAATAATAGAAAAACTTAAAACCAAAGAACCAATCAATCAACCATGACACACTCATTCACAATTTGTACTATATGTATGTAGTTATTATATATATAAAGTGTATATATACGTGATTCGATTTTTTTTTGTAAACAATTGTTTCAAAGAATAATAAGAATGGAAAAACGTAACCTGACTTTGTGTGTGTGTGCTTTCTTTTTTTTCTTTTACTTTTTTGGGTGCGTCCAATGCGTACGTTCAGTAGTAGCTGAATTTTCAGGGCTGTTGGTTCTGCTGTTGGCTGGATAATGTAAAGCCTAGCGACCTGGGATCGCTTCCGTGTAGTCGAAGGGCCTGTTCCAATCGCTGTTCCTGCAATCGCAGCGCCTCCGTCAGATCAGGGCTCAGTTGCTGCGAGGATTGTCCTTGGTGGCTCTGGTAGTTACCATTGTGTCTCAACGGACTGTTGTTTTCTTGTTGGTTCAATTGAGGTAGCGCCTAAATAATAAATAATAACGTTAACAACAAATTGACTAATGTGAATTATCTGAAGATCAACAAATTAGGATAGTTTTCATGTAATCACTGAACACGAATATTTTTTTTTCCAAAAAAAATGAAAGAAGAATTATTTTAAAAGATTCTAATGTGAATTGTTATATCTGTTTTTTATTTATCTGAGCGTAACAAAAATTAGAGCAAACAGTGTTGTACATATTCAAAAATTTCTCTGAAGAAATATTGTGTTTTAGCGTACAGTTCTCTACATATTATATTAATCATGTATGAGTGAAGTAGTTTTTAATATGTACATTAATGGCGTTGGTCGACACTTTCTAATAAATAAATATGAATAGAGGCAAAGAAACGGTTCGTATATTTTTTATCTGAATTAATTATATCTCTTGTGATTTCGTAATCTGCGATTGATGATGTTGAAAAGTTTGTAGGTACCTGACTCATGGCTATTCTAAGGGCGGCCTCCGCTTGCGATCGCAGCAGGGCTTCTGCCGCGTGCTGCTGCATCCTGAGGGCGTCCTGTTGCTGAGAGGGTTGCGGCGAGGACATGTCCATCACCGAGGACCGCATCGCATCCATATTCCTGATGCTGTCCATGGAAGCGCGCATTGCGTTCATAGCGGACACCGATAGCGTCTCGTTGCTTATTGGAGGCGTCGACGGATTACTCGAATTGTTCACCTGGTTGGCCTGTAATTACATCAGATACATCAGTAAAAGAATTACAAACAATTGTATGAATGTAGGGGAAGGGTCGCCAAATTTGGTTAGACGCCTAGGTTCAATTTATATCCTAGATTGAACTGTATAGGGAATGTCCACTATATGGAAACCAAAATATATTGTCTAGAAGTAAAATTGCACGAAATAATAATTGCTATTAGTGAGCAGTTCTTTTATTTTTTGTCAGTTAGCAATTAAATATTTTACTGTAAGAATGTATATTTTTAATAGTATAGTTGGAGAAAACGCACAAAAGGCAGTTTCTATAAATTCGATAAACCTACATCATTGTGTATATGAATATGATCGATATGCATCAACAAGTCAATCGATATTGATGCAATACTACTCACTTGGGTCACGCCTAGTCTCATGGCGAGGTTGGCGATATTAGCGATGTTCGCTGCCGCCGAAGAGGAATCCGATCCCAATCCGGGCGGAACGCCTCCCTGATTCACCATGTTGGCGATGACGGCCATCCGATTGGCGTTGTGCAACTGCTCCTCGACGTTGTACTGCTGATGGAGTCCGTTGTTACCTAAGAAATTATGATCTACATGCCAAAATTCCAATTAAAATATGTCGTTGTTTCTTTTGCTTTGTTTTTTTCTTTTGCTCGTCGTTCATTCGTCCGTATTGCCATCATACCATATTCGTGGGGAGAGGCCCCACGTCAGAGGCATATGTTTCGCTCATGTTACCCCAATCACCCACGATCCCACTTACTTCTCAAGATATCGCCAAGTTTGGTGTTGCAGTTGTTGTTGTTGTTGTTCAGTCCGCCCGCTTCTGATCCTGCTGAGGACAGGCGACCGTTACCTGAGGAACTGTCGCTGTGGGCGCTCGGCGATGCGCACATGGGACTCGAGCTCGCTGTAAATGGAACGGAAAAGATGTTCGTTAGATGTACTCCGGATAGGTGACAAATTGCTTTATATTTCTTACCTGCTCCACCCATCCCTGTGAGACCGAGAAGTCCGCTGCTGGAGGCGGAAGCAGAAACGGCGGCAAGGATGGTCTCCCTTTCGCGTCTCTCCGCTGCGGCGCGCGACAGCACGTACTGAGCAGCGAACTGATGCTTGGGATCCATCCTCATGTGTTCCATGTGGGTCAGGAGTCCTGAAAATTGAGCGAAACCAACGCGCGGACACGTGGACCAATATTAGCCAAAAGGAAACAGGTGATGAAGAGCAACGCGCGACGAGAGTAAGGAGCATGTACACGGAAACCATGAGGTGCTTGACTTATCGAAATAATAAGTATATTCATAAATAATAAACTTGAAACGATAAGGAGAGGAAATAAACAATAATAAAAAAAATTGGAGAACGAAAACAAAAAATTATATGTATTTGTAATAAGCGGAGATATGGAGTAGTAGTAGAGTAGTAGTAGAAGTAGTGATGGAAGAAAAAGAAGATGAAAGAATGGAGTCTTGGAGTTCGGTAGCTCTTGCACATAAAAACGTCGTTCGGGTGGAGGGTGGTTGTTTTGAAGTATTTCATGTTCAATTTTTCAGTTCGGTGTGTTGTATAACTATTGTACAAATGTTGGTAATATATGCGATTGGATGATGGTCTCGGTGATGTATGTTTGGACAATTTGTATAACTTATTATTTGCTGGAGCTACGAAACTTCATTCAGACTCAATATCTTCGATCTTCTCGTTCTTCCCATGGAGTTCGTGTCTTCCTTACCTGACTCGTGGGTGAAGACTGCCTGACAGACGGAGCACGGCCACATTCGTAGTGAACTCGTCAACTGCGACGTTTCCGGATGGCAGGCCAGATGCTTCCTGAGCGATCCTTCGTTTACATAGTGTTTCCCGCAAACGGGACACGGATGGTTCGCCGTCCTTCTCTTCGCTAAATAAGGATCGATGACGTCAACAAAAGAGAGAAAACGAGATCAAGCAAAGCACCCCAGGGATCTTGATTAAAAAGCGTTTTCGTTTCGAAAATATGTCACATATACACACACATATAATCAAATATACATGTATATATACTCATTTTTTTGGGTTTGTTTTTAATAATACCATCACATGAGAATGTGTGAACGATTCTGTGTGTGAGTGAGTGTAGTAAATGTATGGATGTAAGAAATGTGTATAGGTGAGATAGATGACGTGTTAAACAATTACAGAACTAAGCCACAACCGCGTGTCAGGTGGAAGGAATCCAACATAAAAGAGAAAAGACGAAACCAAAAGAAAAAATAAAAATAAAGGCACAATATATATTTTTATATATATAAACAATATCAACTTGGGATATGCGTAAGGATGATTGTAGTAAATCAGGGTTGAACCGCATAAGCAAATAAAAACCATAAATAATATATACATATAAATAAATAAACAAATAAAATAACCAAGGCATATTCCAGTTGCCGCAGAAAAGTTGTAGTTTCTTTCAACTAGAAATTGCGAAGAGAGAAAGAATCAGCATATTCTCTATTAACTTTTTTTTTAGTCTTTGACCCGCATTAAAGAATTATTAAAACAACAACCCTTCTACGGATCCGAAGAATAAAAAAAATAAATAAATAAGAAAATCGAAAAATTAAACGGGGCAAAAGAACAAAAATGCTTTTAAGTTCGGATTCGCGCGCGTCCATTCAATATTTTAAGTGCTCTCCGGACATTGATGGATCATGCTTTCTTTCATTCTTTATCCCATATTTTTTTTTATTTATGTACTTCTTTCATTTCATTACTTCTTAAGCTCTTGTCCCTTTATGGATTTTTATTTATTTACTGTTCTGCGACAACGAGGCGAAAGAAAAAAAAAACTTGAAGCTAGGTTAATTCCACATTACTCCATTTAGTTCATGATATAAATATACAAGGTATGACACTGGTTGGTTCTAATCCCTCCAAACTTTTTTGATATCACTAGTGCGTCTTTTGGAAACAAAACATAATCGTACCTTGTATATTTTATATCATGGTTTAGTTTGTTAACTTAGGTGACTTAAGATCTATTATCCTATTTTATTTTGTACATTGCATATTCAAAGCATCGAAGCCTTGGCGGTAAATACTTACTGGCTACCCCCGATGCATTGGGGTCTTTGTGTGTATGCTTCATATGTTCCATGAGGGCTTCACCGCCGAGGAACATCTTATGGCACAGCGGACACGAAGTGGCATTTGGGCCCCCAATGAGAGCGGCGTGTTGCTGCAACCGACCAATACACTGCTGACAAAAGGCCGCGTTAATTCAATCGAATTCAATCAAACCAAATTTTTGTTATTGTATTTATATTTTATTTGTTATGTTAGGATTTTCTTTTTCCCTCCCTCTATCTCTATATATTTGCATCCCCCTCTTAACTTTTTGCTTAGATAGCAAACGAAGGTGGAGTGGAAGGCAACATTGAACAACAATAATACGGCAAGGACTATTTATTCCTTTTCATCCCATTGTGCTCCCCAACATCATCCAACCTCGTTGTACCCACTCTCTTTAATAAGTCTTTTTTTTAAACGTTTATTAACTTATACTTAGATTCTCTCCAATTTGGTTTGATGTGAACTTTTTGATAGCACCTTTAAGGAATACACATTGACAAATATCTCAAGAACTACGAACAACTACTTGTTAAATACTTTGCATTCTTCACATAATATTTCTTTCATTGATTAATACTTACTACCAGATGAATAATTACGGAATCATTGTGAAACGAGCTAATAACAAAGATGTTTATTCTAATTCTATGTTTTTTAATAATTTAACAAAAATTAATAGAACCGTTAATTTGCTTAATAAATATGAAGTTATAATAATAATTAGAAATATATACATTAAAAACTAACTATTTTTTAAGATTGTCAATGAACCAGTTAATTAGATGATTTTTGACTTATTATATAGACAATAGTTGACAAATAATTGAAGGAAAGAGTAGGTAAAAATCATCTAATACTACGATTATAATATTTAAATTCGAATTACTTCATTAAATATAGCGCGAAATTCGAAACATAATCATGTTTCCACCGAGCGAAGGAGACCCATCCCCGCACGAAAAAAAAAAAGAGTGAAGAAAACAGAACGGTCCCTGAATAATTCACGCGAAATGTTGCCTCTCTCACCCCTAGCGCCTTAATGGCGCTAATAAGAAAAATTGCCTTTTTACGGGCGACCTCCTCCTCTACCTCATCTACATCCACCTTCTCCTCAGCGGCGGGAGCAGAAATCAGAAAAAGATAAAAATTAAGTGCGCGATAAAGAATGCATGATAATTAGCGCTTGTAATTCCACCCATTCTGGGCCGTTCCGCGTTTTAAAAACCCGCTTCACCAGCGACTACCTCTCCAACCCAACCACCCCTGCTGAAGCCGTGACAACCCCCTAATTACCGGTGCGCACGTAGTCGAGATGAGGAATCTCGAGGAATTGCCCTAAATTAAAAACAAGACGTCGAGTGCCTCGGAGTTTATTTTATTTTTATTATTCCTGACCATCGCTGCGAGGGCGGCGGCGGCGTCAATTAAGGGGTTGCGAATTATGAAGAGTTGGAGATAGAAAATACTCGAATACGGCTCTGCTAGCGTATCCAACTCCATAGTAAACTAAAATACCGGTTTAAATGGACTTTTACATGCGTTCTTATTAATTTTATTGCGATGCCGCAGCAATTTCTAATCCCTGAGAAGAATACCAGAGAGGAATGATTATCAAAACAAAGTTAAAAAGAACATCAAAACAACGCTGAATTGAAGAAGTAAAAGATGATTGATGCATTTTTATAATTTAATTCGATTGTTTATTTATTATTACTTTAAAATCATTGCTCGTTGTCGTCGCGATTTAAAGTTTCGTTAATTAACGAGTTGCAAAGCACAGGTGGCGGAATTTTTAAATGTATCTATGCCAGATGTGTATAAATCATTAAAATCCCGCAAGCCGTTGTTGTTGTTGTTGTCGTCGTTGTTGTTGTTACTGCTTGCGTCTCTTTTTCGCTCCGCATAGTTTCGTTGTTTCCTTCTTCTCTTCGAGGATTGCGTTCGATGCGAGTGCGAAGAGGATGGAAAGATGCAGGCAAGTGCACGCGAAATATAATAATAATTGAACGCCGTAAAAACCTTGATTAGTCCCGCCCTGACTTGACTTAAGTCAGTTGAGATAGGTTAGGAAGGTTATAATAAAATACCAAGTGAATGAACTCACGTTATCTCATTTCACTGCAAGATTACGTCCTCCGCACGGTCTATCTCTCTCTCTCTCTCTCGCTACTTCGCAGCTCCTTGGCCTCACTCGCTCCCAGCGTTCCTTTTTACTACCATTTAGTTTTATTACCAACAATACCAACATAAAACCGACCGTTCGAAAACGCGCCACCGCCGCCAATACCATTTACCCGCCGTTAAAATTTAAATTTCAATAAGTCACCAATTCTTTCTTTTTCTTTGTTTGCTTTGTTCATTTTCTCCATCCTCGCATTTTTGTGCACAGAAAAGTCTGTACAATCCATTGCAGATTTAAAAAATTTCTTTACACATATACTGAATTTGCGTGAAACGAAGAACTTTACAATCTTTAGTCGTTAATTTTGAAATAAAATCAAACAAAGCAAAATATTATTTTATCTACATTCAAATTAATATTATTTTTAAATTTAGATGAATTACTATACAATTTCATTTATATTTACAATTAAAGTTCATTTTAACATTCAACGATCTTAATCAAACGGAATTCAGTCTACTCAATTCCATGTGATCTCACGACAAATAGAATATGAGGAATCCCCATCACAATGTTTTAATGCAACATTTTACGTTCGCAAGACATTTTCTCATTAATTTTGTATATGTAATATATTATCTAAACTTAAAATAAATCAACAGACTTTCTTTCAAAACAGATACAATTTTAATCATCGTATAAAACGCGCCCTAACTGTTCCCAAAAAGCTCCATTAATAAAGCGAATAATTCGATTGCATTTACTCTCAATGCTCACAGTTGACGGAAAAGCTTTTGCAAATGTAATAAACGTAAATTTTATTTGCATTCCAAGTAATATTAAAAAGCTTAAAGTATCTTGTTGTATTTATTTTTTTCTCTTCTGCTAAAATTCTCCCCCGTCTAATTTCATTCATATTTCATAAGATAAGCTTCCTGCTGAAGGGTGTGACGACAATTTAATTTTTTCACCCCTTTCGCAGCTGAACATGCTGCGAGAAAAAAAAATGTATATAAGTAAAGCGAAATTGAAATGAGAACGTTCTAATCTAATGGAACCCAGATGGAAAAAAGACACCTGAGATTACAAATTGATGAGTTCAAGAACTTTAGTTTACAGTAAATTATTTATAAAATCCTATATTATTATTTCTCTCAAAAAATATTATTTATAATTAAGTTACATATCCAATTTATATTCAAATGTATTTAATTAATTTTGTATTTTATCAGAAAATAAGTTTTCAGATATTGTGTGCTATTGATATAAAATAATTAAATTATAATAGAATGTCTTATTTTATGCCCGAAATCTGGGATTATAGAAAAATTAATTTGGTTTGGAGGAAAAATATGAGATTTCCTTTTGTGTTTTTTTTGGTATATTAATTAATGTTGTGCTTAAAGATGTTGTATGAAAGAATCGGAGTTTGGGGGTAAGTAAAAAAAAGATAGGAATAATTAGTAGAAGGATTAGGGAACGCATGCGGTACGAAGCCCTTGAAAAGCGAAAGGGTTAGAAGATGCGACGAGATCTTCCGCTCACCCTAAAATCAGTTATGAGTCACTTGGGGAGAAGCGAGTGTCCTTCGAGGAAAGTAAGTAAGTGGGTCAGGGGGGTAAATACAGCAGCACCGGCAGCATTAGAACAGAAAGAAAAGGACAAAAGTGCTCGCACTACAGGAACCGGAAGTAAATAGAGAGAACGCAACGGACGAATCGGCGAGAACAGGTTAATTGATTGGTCAAAAAGGCGGCGGTTGACCAGTGCGCGCAGTGGTGGCGCTCTAGAGGGTGTAGGTGGTGTCAACGGGAATTTTTTTTCCAACCCCATTTGTGCGATTTTTCGACGGGCGTGGCGCGGCAATCGCGTGAGCGGAACTTCGGGGGGAATGAGAATAAAAAAAAGAGAGAAGAACGTACAGAGAGTGGAGAAGAAACGAGGCGGGAAAAAAATCACGGCGTTGTTTGGAAGGGGGCGGCACACGGGGGGCGGCGGGTCGCGGAGTAGAAAAAAAGGGAGGCAGCGCTCTTCGCGTCCCACACGCGCGCATTTCTCGGATAAAAATGCGCATTTTGTCAGAATCCGCCTCTGGTGGGGACAACCATTCTCTTATCAAATAGCACCTGCGAATGTAGATTTTGGTTACGCACCGGCGCGCACCCACTAACGCCCACCAAAACTATTCCATCGTCTAGTAATAATAAACAAACATTTACCATTTGAGACTCAATGAGTTTAAAAACGCGATACTTTACAATTAAGACATCTAATACATATCTAGTCAACTTGGATAAGTTTTTCAAGTATGTTTATGTACTTAAGGTAGCGACACATCACTCAATTGAAACTTTGGTAGTTATGGAAATATTATACTTATTGACAAAATAAATAGAAAACAGCAACTGAAATTATATGGATTTGCTCCTGTAAGTGTTAATAGATTGACAACTCGTTTTCACCTATCAAAACATGTCAAATCACTTTATTTTTGTTTATTACTGCTAAAACGTTTACTTTTGTTACAGCTGATATTTAAACACTATTTAAAACGTGATACCAACTAAAGGTGCAATTATAAAAATCATTACATAACTTAATCAATTTAAGGTGACTTTACTATTTATTTTATTTGCGTAAATGCACGAAGATTGATATTCTTAATATCTTTATTAAGACTGGTTTGAATCATTCGACCTTTTCCTCCTACTACGATCGCAACCCTTCCGTTATTCTTCTTCCTGTTCCATGTTTTTTATTCTATTCAATTTTTTTCTTCGGTTTTTGTTTTGGTCGTCTCCTTTTTGGTTAATTGGCCGGCGGATAAACAAACGAGCAACGGAAATCGCGGTGTAAATATAGTGCTAATGCCATCAGATAAGGCAATTTGGCTTCAAATTGGAGCTCAAAATGAAATTATGTAAATTCACTAGTCGACGTTACCTGTACGGGAGGTTTTTATAATTAATCACTCCCCGAGCGAGAGGGAATGACTCTCAAGGAAGAGCGTGGCGAAACTTCTTTCTTCTCTATATACTCGCACACATTTTTCTTTCAAAACATCTTTCATAGATTTACCACTTTCACGATGAAATCTATTCGAAACTAATTATATTCATTATTAACAAATTTTACAAATACGTGAAAGGAAATTGTCTGTTTTCTACTTTTATTTATTCAAAAATCGTGTGTTCTTTGATTAAAAAAAAATCATAAATAAATTATGAAAGAATATGATGTTTGTGGAAGAAATGTTTTAGACTTTATGTTATAAATTAGTGACATTATTAATAATGACTATCTAATGAGCGTACTTTTTTTCCACTCCGTCTCGAACAAAAGGCCAATTATTTTGCCCCGCGTTTCACAAGTTTCTTTCCATTTTATTTTCCCGAGCTTTGTGATTTGCTGTGCCGCTCACAAAGAGTAACTAAATAATTTCTCCTACTCCCCGACGTTCTTCACCCCCTCTCTCACTTCGTACATCGTTTGTTTTCTCTGTGCGTTTCTTTTTTTCCCCCGTTTCGTTTTCTTTATTTTGTTTTGTTTTTACTTTCAGGGCAATTTTTATTCCCCAACCGCCTCCGACGGCGGAGTTGCGGGAGGCAATCAGTGGAGCGGAATGAAAGTGCGTTTCTGCTCGGAGTGTTCCTAATCTGATTCTTTCAATAGGTGGGAGCAGGTGCGGCCCTTCCCACACTTTAATAATAAGTAACGACACAAATTTCGAGGCGAAAAAGTTACAACCGCCGCCACCGCCGAATAGGACGAAGGAAGGAGCAGGAAAAAGGGAAGAAGGAGTGCTTCATCCCTCTCCAACTTCCGCCAAAACGAGCGAAAAAATAAAGGATGTTCGGGATACATCGGACAGAGAATAAAAAATATTATTAAATGGGAGCGCGGAAAACGGACCCCTTCTGATAATTAAAGTGCGCGGGGGGATTATTATTACCAATCCATTTTAATAATGGCTTTCGATATTTATGGCCATGGATGAGTAACACAAAAAAGTAAAAAAAATATAAGAGAAGGAAGACCACGATGTGAGAATAATAACAACAAAAAAACTAGAGCGAAGCTAAGAAAACGCCTAACGAGATTCTAACTGAATTTAAAGTTTGCCAAATTGAATATTATCATTACACGCCGCTCCGTGGAAAAGGAAAACAAAACCTATTTGCATCGACAATAATATGCACTTTACGATTTGTTTAACGAGCAATTACAATATTAAATAACAATGTTTGAGGAGAGGCGGCTCTTCCTTCTGGTCTCTTCCATTCGTATGGATTTTTAAGAGTCCGTTAAGGAAGAACGTACAAAGAAAAAAAAATAATGAAGAAGAGAAACACGGCGATGACAATAATAATTATGATAAACCCATGAAAATGTAATGGGCTTTAAAGACTTAAAGGCCGATTTGTGCGCACTTTGTTGGAGCACCATTTATCGCGCCATAATTACGCGAATAATTAGTTTTTATTTTGAATTTGCTTCGCGCGCGTCTTTAAATCATTTTTTACCATTGATGTTCGTTACGCACATATCTTTGCATCCGCAAATAGTATCACCGACATAATTCATAATCGTTTACGGCTTTTCGTTATGGTCGTCGTCTTCGGTGAACGATTGCTTCTAGATTGTTTCATTGCTGGACAAAATTGCGATCATTACATAAACGTACATTCATATTATTAATATTTTTTTTATTATCTCCTTTTCTCTCTCTCTCCCTCTTGTTCTTCGTTTAATTTAATGACTTCAAGGCAACGACTTGTTATTCATTCAATTTCTATTCTATTAAAATAGCAATGAACATAAAATAGCAGTTTTTACATAGTTATATTTGTTTTCAGCTCTAAAAGAAACACATTCACTCCAAGCAAATAGTAAATAAATTACTATGACTATGATATAATTGCCAAGTATTTGCCAAGTAACTTGTTTACTTATACAAATAATAAATTTGAACTGCTTTCTCAGTAATGAGTTTTAATACACATGTCAGCTTAAATATAATTTATAAGTTTGAACCATAATAATTATTATTTACATTTGATGTTATATTATTCATCAATGTTTTCTCAAAATGGGAAAGAATTTTTTTCTTACATAATTAATATATTAATTATGTGTTGAATAATTAATTACATTTGTATTGAATCGATTTGCTATTGGATTAGTTCAGAAAGGTCTTGTAATATTTAATGGAAATATATAAGAGAATTCAAATGAAAATGTCTGTTCGTTGTTTATCAAAGAAATAATTTAACTTTAAATAGTTCTCCCAAATGAGCCTAGAATCCCTTCCTTCCTCTTTGTACGTTCCATTCCTCCTTTTATTTTTTCTTCTTCTTTCTCGTTGCGAGTGTATGTGTGTGTAACACACGAATCCGACATAAATATAAAATGTGCCTTGATTAATAAAAACATGCGTGCGATGGGAACATTAAAAATCATCGCATGCTAAGGCACATTCAGTCCTCAACCCTTTTGCATCTAAGCGCGGTATCCCCCCGCCGCGAGCAGCCGCCGCCACCGTCCCCTTACCTTCGAGGGACCAAAGGGGGGACGACAAGAAGCGCCGCCGCCTATGCCGCCTCCCTTCGGACGAGCGCCGGCACCGAAACGGCACCACTTTCAAACCGTCGTTTATTTCAAGGCAATCTCTCCTTCGAACTCTTCGTTTATTCTTTCTCCTCCCGTACTTTTTTTTACCCCATCTCCAGTCTGCTTAATTTATTCCAAAAATTATTCTTGTAAACTTGAACACATACACGCAAGCGATCGCAATTACCGACTGAATATTATAATGCTGCTCAACAAAATAATACAAAAAATATTGCTATTCGCAATAAAACGTATGACAAACTTCAGAAAAGAATGATTACTCATCTAATTTATACTCAAAACTTTTAGTTTATTTCACTTTTACAAGTTATAATCTGTATTCAATAATATGATTGTCTTTCTTATATATTTCGTAATCAAATATAGATGCCCGAACAACATGCAATATATAAAACAGAATATTTTTTATTGCTTTTAGGTTGAGAAACCAATAAAAATTGTTATTCAATACTTTTTTTTAAATGTATTTTGATCTTCTACGATTCTTATTAGTACTTCTATATTAATAAAATAGCAAAATATGTTTATAACTTTAATACATATTATTGAAATTTAGTGATAACAAAAAAAAGTTTTAAGAAAATATAAATATTGTTGTCCTCTTTTTTAATATAAAATAATGATATTTTTGATTGTATATTATAGCAAGTAAATAGAAAAATTAAAATTTATCGTATGAGTAAAATTGATGTAATGATTGCAATTATATATCGATCGAGATAATTTCATAATCAAAAGGATAAAAAAAATCAGTACGTAATAAGGGAAACGCACACACGCACGATGTGGAAAATACGAAAGAAGCATAAAGGCAAATGACATAATTCTCCTATGAATAATGGATCGTAATTCATACGGAATGAGTAAATAGAAATCATTATAAATTTTTATTCTCTCCGCGTATCTGACTTTTCGCTTTCATCGCGATGACTTATTTACAAATGTATAATGTTTCCCCCTTTTGAAAAGCATAAAAAATGTATTCGAACGCCCACCCACCAATATAAAAAAAACAGAATGTAATCCGACCATCTTAACCAAACACTCTTTAATAAATCGCTTCCAGACGGCGAAATTAACCCCAATTTATACGACGATCAATCTAATCGTTACATTAAAAAACATAAATGGATTTGCAAAGTATTTAACACCTGATACAAAAAAACAAATTAAGGAATATTCCTGAGACATTTCGCATTGTTCCTTAAATTTGCATTTCGACAACACAGATCTGTTTTTTTTTTGCACAAGACGAGTTTCTAAGTCTACAGACGTGCACGCGTTTAAGAAAAATCATTTTTTAAACATATATAAAATGTTAAAGGAAATCATAAAATCATAAAAGGTTACGAACTGAAACATAATTAAACGGATTAAATTATATGTGTGTAAATTAAAATAAAGTATTTCTTGAATAAAGAAATGATACAATCGGAGTTGAAATCAAAAAGTTCAGAAATAATAAAAAAAAATATTTCGAAGCCAATTTGCTGCATTTTTTTTGTTACACAAATATTTCGAAAATGTGGATTGTGAATGACAGCGATTGGACTTCGATGAAAATTTTCAAACCAAGGAGAGAACTTGTGTATTGACATACATGGCTTACTTTCGACGTATGTGTTCGAAGACTGGACTCGGTGGCGAAACCTTTGCCGCAGATGTTGCAATGGAAGGGCCTGTTCTTGGCCCTTTCCACTTGGGCGTCGTGGTTCCTGAGATGCTGCTGGAGGTTGGACAGCTGGATGAAAGCCCGTCCACAATCCGGAAGGTGACACTTATAGGGACGTTCACCTGAAATAAACAGAAAAAAACTATATTAATCACGGGCCAATTAAGAGATAACTGGAAAAGAAAATATTGGTTCTGGGCATTAGGAGAGGGTTTGAGGGAGCGAGATTGGGATGGGATAGGAAGGGAGGAAGAAGAAGTATAAAAAGAAAGGAAAGCGAAATCGGAGGAACTTCAAAGCTGCCCCCTGTTTTCTTTTTGTATTCTCCTTCTGCCGATTAATTTAATCGGAATAATGAAAAAGTTTTTAATTTGGGATCGAAGGACGGGATGGGTTTTTGCCGATGCATTCTTTCGAACTGTGACACATTTTTAATAAAAAAAGGGTTATACCCGAGGCTTAATTGGAAGGAGAAGGAATTAATGAAATTCCCGATACTATCCAGAAAAAATATATTGAAAAGAATTGAAAGAAGATTAATTCACCATAATGCAAACAAAAAAATATTATTAATTATATTATTTTTATCTCAACTTAATGAGCGTAAAATCTCAATATAATACGCACAATTTGCAATAATTTTAAATAAATTAAATTAAAATATAAATGCGTATTATATAAGAATTTCAATGTTATCATATTGTCGCATTGACTAGCAATATATTAGTAATAGGTTTTCCTCCTAATTAACCATCGATTATTTGTATTGTGTTAATTTTCTATTGTTCAAGATTTGTCAAATTATACCACTCACCCATACACAAAATTCGTTGCTTAATTTTAGTAAATTATTGTGAGTAAAGTCAATGCATGGGATATTGACCCGATACCGATTGAAAAAAATTAGAGAAATTGAAAGAACTGAAATTGCAGATGCAGAAAGAGGGAGAAATATTACGAAAAAAGAAGAGACGTGTTCTGAAGATACATTATTAATTACGATAATTTGTTGTTTGTTGTTGGGGATTTTTGCTCGGAACTGCTGTTGCTTGCGTGCTGCTCCGGCGAAATCGTGGTCGTTGAGGAGGTGGAGAGAAAGAAGGCCGGAACGGCCGATGAAATGACATAGAATTAGGAATTAAATAAATGCAATTATCGAGAGCCCGTCCGCACCGTAATCAAATATACACTAAAAAAAAGGATAACGAAAGAAAGGAAGAAATAAAAACGCTCATATACACAGAAGGATGAGTTTGTGTGCGTGGGAGGACCTTCAGCTATTATTAATTGTAAAAACTGTAATTAATTTTCGCACATGGAGGACTTGAAAAAAAATATATATATATACACACACAACCAACATTCTTTGCGTCGCGTTTTTCCTCCACTTCTCCGGGCGGGGCGATTTGGAGGATGGTAGAAGAAAACGCACATATATAAGAATGTATAGGATGATGGGAAGGGGTATGGTGTGCTGCGTTTGCCATATTGTGGACGGAAAAATAGCTTCATTACCGGGACTATTAATTACGCAAACACATGAATTAGTCCACCTGAATGTACTAGTCTCTTCTTTTACTTTTTCTCTCTCTATCCTCTGTATAACCACTTTTTTTGTGTTTGCTTCTTGCGAACGTAAATTTTAACTAATTACGATCGGAATGTCTATAATTAAAGGTAAGAAAGGCAGCAATAGGTTCGGGCTATTTTCGGAAATATTACGACAAAACGAAAAATATTATTGTTACAAGTTTAAATATATTGATGTTAACATATGGTTGAAACTCTTTTCGTCGAAGAACTATTGTAAATCTGTATTTATAGTAATCAATTGTATTTTTCTTTGTTCTGAATATAAACACATTTTTGTCAAATCATCACTTGTTTAAGTTCAAATATATCTTTTATTATATGTTTTAAATATAAGAAACAATACGACATTAAAGTTAATCTCAATGTAGAATTGATACAAAAAATCACATCAATAGAGAAATTATTAATCGTATGATAATTGAAAAACCGAACAAAGCTACAATTCACATCCAATCGATAAATTCGATTAGAACGGCTCCGTTTTGTTGTTAAATAACTAGAGTCGCTGTTAATTAGAATGGAAAGAATTAATATCGCTCTGCATCGCGTACAGAATGATACTTTGAATTGGGTCATTCGCATGATTATTGTAGTTTCCAGTCGATGCGAACAACAACAAATATGTTCTTTTAATTCTCTTTATCCGACCAGATTCTTCTAGTGCTGATATTTCTTTGGATATTCTAAATGCTTGGATTTTGAGAGTAAAACTTGTAATATTAGAGTTCTCGTATGCATGTTTTTTTACTATTATTATTGCAGGAGAACATGTTTGAATTGATTAAGTAATTGACTTGTTTACCGTTTCGATTTTATAACTTGGACGCTGGGCAGACCGAGTAAAGCGCACTCAGAATTCTTCATGCAGAATTGCACATAAAATATTTGAAGGTTCTTATACTTAAAGTTATTTATAGTTATTTATCAAATAAAATATTTTTCTACAAAATTTATAAATTTAATCAAAATTTTAATACAATTAACTCATCTCTTGATATTACAAACATTTTTTTTTTGTTATATCATAAATTATATTATTATAAATATTGATAATAATTATTACGTATTTGGAAATAATTGAAAATATATATATATATATAATTTTTTACAAATAATCATAAAATATTTGAACAAATTGTGTTAATATTAAAATTAAAGCAATCAATAAACGTTTTGTTACATAAATATGCATGAAATTGCGCGAGATTTAAGCAATGAATAAGTGTTAACCACAAAGAGCAGATGTTCAGATGATTTTCATTTAAAAAAAACAATTTGAATAATTCGTAAACATGACCGTGTCGGCACGATCGTAAGTGTAATTAAAATGATGATTTTAAAAGAAAATAAGCAACAACAAGAAAGAGCGTGTTACCGGAAAGGGGTGAAAAGTGCGTATAACGAGGAAACGGGAACATGAAATGACTATCCGGTTAACGGACTTAATAATGCAATTGCGTTAAACTGGGGTGGGTTACTTAGTAGTACCGATGATGTAAACTGAGGTTAATCGTGACACGCTCGATCCATGTATACGGTGCAACACACTTTTCCCCCCTTCCTCAGGTGTAGCTTAATTAAGAAAAAAAAAAACACGGGTGAAAAATACAACAACAAAACGAAGAGGAGAAAAAAGAGGTGTTGGTTATAAAAATATGCATGTCAGTAATGAAAAAAAAAAAAGGACTCGTCTCGCCAGGCTAAACAAAACGTGTCCTGCTGAAAGGTGTCAATTATCAGGTAATTTTCCGGGTGGCCGAGTGCTGGAGACGCGCGAGAGCGCTCGTCGCGCGTGCCACATTGCGAGCGCACAACCCCCGATACCGAAAAAAAGAAATCGGTGGAATAAAGAAGGAAGATGCGTAATTCGAATGTGGGAAAGAGAAGCAACGACAATCGAAGAAGTATATCCAAAAAAGATGGTTACAATAAAACGCAATTACCGCGCATTCGATATGCGCCTAGGTACACTTCCAATGTTATTGCCGTTGGCCATCCCTAGTTTCATTATTATCCTTCCACTTCCTTTTTTTTTTGTTGGTTGGTTTATTTGTTTCTTGTTGCTCCGATCCTGCATTTATGTATTCGGAAAGCTGACCTGGAGCAGATGGTGCCTTCTGGTTTAATTTAAGGGTCGATGTTTTACTTGACCATATGCATGTAGTGTGTATGTGGAGCAGCAAAAAATTAAACAAAAGGGTTTTTTTTAATGGACACGGGTCCGAGCGGCTAATATTTATATTGGCTGTCATGGGAACGGAAACTGCTGAACTTTACGCTCTCTCACAACTCTTCACCTAATGAAGTATATTACACACATACATTTATTTTTCTTACAAACAATTTATTATAATTAAAAGAACAGAAATTAATTACATTCATTGGGAGATTTTTTAATTACATTCAGTAAAATCTTGTTTAAATTTTGAATACACCTGATCTTTAAAAAATCTCGAAAAAATAATGTATACGAATTTAAATTTGTATCGAAAACTTTTGCGACGAATCGTTCGCATTATATACAGATGCGTATAATATTGAAGATATTATTATTTTGTTAAATTTTATTAGTAATTTATTGCTTTCGAATATTTGCTAATTGTAGGATATTGCAGCTAATTCGGATTAATAACATTAATTGAATAACCGGTGTTTTGATGGTTATTAGTTCGATTATAGTAGAAAATTGCGGGATTATTAATATCGAACGTTCAGTGGCGTTAACAATAATGTTTTGCCGTCTACATTTTCCAAATTTCTATATATATATTGTTTAAATTAAAGACTCATGGCAGCAATCAAAACCCTACGCAAACATCCGAGCAGTTGGTAATTCAAATAAGTGGAGCTTCGTGATCGGAATTATTTTCTGTATGTTAGCAAATTCGAGACAAAATCAATTTACTATAACTTATGAAGACATTAACATGATGCAACTATTGTTGTAAAATCAAATTATTATTTGTTAACAAAGTACTATTGCATTTTATTTCAGACAAAAAATATTTCTGCAGGATGTAGGATTTTAATGTATAATAATTTGTCTATCTGAAACAATGGTATTTCTTCTATATTTTTTTTATAAATTAATTCAATTATGGGTTCACTATTGAATAATGTGCAAGTTTTTTCTTTCTTTCCGTTCTTGTTGCTACTGTCGCAATCTAAATGTAAACGATTATGCAAAATTACGCAAAACGAGCCTCATTATTGGCAGTATTAATTATTTCGCTCGATTATTTTGTCTGTATGTTTTATTTGCGAGAGCGTCGGTTGCACAAGTATTGAGAAAAAACATAACTCGGTAATTTATTAATTCGCATGAAATATACAATTTTAATTAACTTTGCCGATCAAAATATAGAACGGTGTTTACCATTAATTATAGTTTCATATCGTAATGCTTATTCAATTGAATGTTTCCAAAAGTTATAATTTTTAGTACAAAAAAAATGAGAAAGAACTACTAAGTTCCATCACGATTTTAAATTCATTTGGAAAATTTTAATATATCTAATTATTAGAGAAT